GCTCTAATGCACACCAGCACACCAGTATAGGTGTGTGTATTGTAGGAGCTAGACGACGTATGATGACGTGTGACGGCATAGTAGTGGTGTCCCAATTCTTAGGGGAATATTTTCACCCCTACCCCTTGACACTCTGTTTCAAGGGACAAGGGGAAGGGGTAGGGGAAGGGGAAGGGGTATAAAATAGAATTGGGATTGGGCCTTAGTGTCAAGGCAACTGCTTGGCTATATTATTGCCCAGCTATTAAAAGTTGGATATATAGTACAGCCAACCTGATCTGCATACAGCACACTCACAAAAAGTATATACATAACCAATCTCAGGTTTGTGATTGTTTATACTGCTGCAAAATGTAAAGTATATTATAGCAGAGCTCTTTAAATCCACATAAATTTCTGATCCACATACATTCAGTATAATCAGTACAGATCTAATCTGCTAAATGCAACTATAAAGCATTTAGATATTAAGATATTATGAATATTAACTTTATGATTATTGTGAAAAGTGCTATACAGGTACATTTTATTTGGGTACTGTGATTTTAGTGGCATTGTAAAATAAAATAAAATAATTGTTAATATTATATGATATTTTTAAATATTTTACAGTAAATTAGTGTTAGTATAACGGTAATATTTCTTACTGAATATTTTAATAATCATAATAATAATTTTTATTATTCATATATAACCACACATCATTTTTGGGCATCTCTACAAACAAGCCGTTTTGCAAACCTGCAACCTCGCAATTGCGAGTTTACATCTTGCAATTTTTTTTTTTCAGAATTGCATGATATAAAGAAAGAAAAATATAAGGAAAAATGTCAGAATTGTGATTAAAAAGTCACAACCATCTTTTTAATTTCTTTATTTAGTGGTGGAAAATGGCTTCCACAACACTCTAGCATTATGGTGGAGACTGTTGGATTGGCAAACACCACTCATATGATCTACACCTTTTCTGTTATATTGACTAGATAAATGTGAGTTGGTTCCTACATACACAGCATCAGCAGTGTATGGATACAGGACAGATCTACATATGAATAAACCTCATTCCCATCATCCATTTCATTCCCTCACCTCCAACAAGGCATCAAAAGGTGAACCAATCCACCAGTCCACAGATTAATCTAAACCTCGCTCAAGAACATCCCCATCGCATCCACACTCAGATATTAGCCGTCTTGTGATTGCTAAGGCTGCTTAAAGCCTGCATAATGCTGTGCTCTCCTCAAATCCAAGCACAAAAACACTTTCTACAGCCACCACACTTAGTTCCACCCAACATTCACATCACAGTAGCTGTTTCCATCCACCTATTTTTAAGCGCATTTTGGAATATCGGATTTAAAAAAA